CGCATAGACTAATAATTGACGGCTGTACTCGCAACTAGTAACGGATTGTCGATGCCACAGTAAAGATCAAAGGACTGTACGCACGCGCTATGTTCGAGAGCGGAGATGTGCGTCCTTTTGTTGAATTACCTTGGCAAGACCATGGGGTAACTACTAAATAGAATGTATTATTTGACAATCAATATGGATATTTAACCAGTGAGTATTAAGTTTGACTTACAATTATTAATAAAGATATTCTTATCAATTCCTTTTGCCCAAATTAAGTGTTTCAACAGAAAGAGTTTTTGTGGAAGAGGATGGAGTGTTCAATATCACTCGGTATTGGCCAAATAAACCTGAAGACATCGACCATTCCACAATGATGAATGTAAGTCCTCTTTGCATTGATGAATGTGAGTCCTCTTTGCATTCTTGTAATTAATTAATTAGGGGCCTGCAGTGGTGGCACCTGCACCCACCATCGCTGAGAGGGAGAGTGCAGAGGGAGGCCAGTGCTCAGGGGCCACTGACAAAACAATTTAAAAAAAAAAATTTTTTTCATGTTAATGCATTTTTCTCAAGAGGGTTTCATTATTTTCTCTCTTTTTATTATGTAAATTGTTTGAATTAAGCATCTAGCTACTGTACTGAAATGCTGGGTGTCTCTGCAACTCCAGTCCCCATGGTCACTCTCGTCGGTTGTGCCTGCACCAGTCAGTGCCCAGGGCTATCTGTAGTAAGAAAAAGATTCCTATGTAATTTTTGCATGTGGAGTTATACATCCAGAACTTTCTGTCCCGATATTGGTTTCTTACCTCCGCCAACGAAGTTGCAAGAGGTTATGTTTTCGCCTGGTTTATTATTTAGTTGCATATTTGTCTGTCGGCATATTTGTTGTGAAGAGCCTACAGCCCATATTTTTTATTAGAAATTAATCAAACTTGGCCACTTTTTCGTTTTCCTTTACCTAAGGTCTAGAGCTGAATAAATTTTGAAGGGTCAAAGGTCAAGGTCACAATTAACAAAAAAACCTATTTTTTAAATTTATTTATCTGCAGCCCATAGTTTGGACCAAAAACTTGTCAAACTTTGTCACAATGTTCCATGACTAAAGATCTCATTACCTCCACCAATGAAGTTAGGCAGGAAGTTATGTTTTTGCCCCTGTTTATTTATTTATTTATTTGTCTGTTGGCATATTTGTTGTGAACAGCCTACAGTCCATAGTTTTAATCACAAGCTTGTCAAACTTGTTCACAGTGTTCCATGACCAAAGATCTCAAGGCATTTGAAGGTTGAAGGGTAAGGGTTAAAGGTCAAGGTCACAATCAACAAAAAACGATTTTTTTTTTGAGACAGTATTTATCATTATTTTTTTTTTAACAGCTTGAGGACTCATCTTGTCAGTTTCTATTTATTGCTGGAGAGGAAGATAAAACCTGGTCAAGTAAGCTGTTTTCAACATTAGCTTGTAAATATCTTCAAAAACATGGTAAAAGTAACTGGAAAATACTAAGCTACCCCGGAGCAGGCCACCTGATTGAGCCACCGTATGCTCCACTGTGTCACAAATGCTATGTTGCCATTTCAGGTTAGTATCTTAAATTCTCTAGAAAGTTAACCATTATTGCCGTTACTGTGTATCTCATAATTTTAAAGTATATATTCAAGACCCAGAGGTGACGGAACTAGGGGGTGCTGTGTTATGGAGAGTAATGTGTGACCGGAAATGGTCTGCAGTCAGTTGGTTGTTACCATGCACCAGTGATGTTGGAGTATATAGTACAGCAATATGAAACTATTATGTAGGCCTAACGAATG